CCTGCCCAGAGCTTTACACTAACTGCTGTGCTATTGGGATTTAATCTTGGATCTGTCTGGCTCCAAACCCTATAATTCTTCCTCATCCATTACAAAGCCATTGACTGCCATGTGTTTCACATTAAAATGATCATTTAACTACATTCATATAGAGTTGTTTTAGAACATATTATCTTTAATTCTTTCTCCTTTTTGCCAATTGTTTTGTCATTTAGTTTCTTAAAATATATAAAAATAATGCTTGCTTGTAGTTTTTTGAAGGGTAAATAATAAGAAAGGTATAGCAAATTTTCCTCCATTCCCATCCCAAATTCTTCCCAGAAATGGCCAATGTTAGATTTCTTACATAGACCATTTTATAAAGCTTCTATTTATATTCAAACACACAAGAAAACACAATTTTCTGTTTACTCAGATGAATACATATTTTGCATACTGTTCTGCACATTTCTTTTTTCATTTAGCATATCTTGCATATCTTGCTCTGCAAATATATATGTAGTTCAATATTTCAATTTAATGGCTACATACATTCATACTCTTTTGTGGTATAAGTGCTGAGTGCTAACTGATTGCACTACTGAAGCTCCTATTCATATTTCTTCATATGGATGTACACAATCCATGTAACCAAGCCCTAGTATGGTTATTTCCCTTTTTACATTTAATTTAATTTAATATTTTAACTTTTAGGTTCAGGTGTATTACATAGGCAAATTTGTGTTATGGGGCTTTGTTACAGATTGTTTTGTCACTCAAGTACTAAGTCTAGTACCCAACAGTTATTTTTTTCTGCTCCTCTCCCTCCTCCTACCCTCCGCTCTCCTATAGACTCCAGTCTGTTGTTCCCTTCTATGTGCCCATGTGTTTTCATCATTTAGCTACCGCTTGTGAGAACATGCAGTGTTTGGTTTTCTGTTCCTACATTAGTTTGCTAAATATAATAGCCTCCAACTCCATCCATGTTTCTGCAAAGGGCATGATGTAATTCTATTTGATGGCTGCTTAGTATTCCATGGTGTATATGTACCACATTTTCTTTATCCAGTCTGCCATTGATGGGCATTGAGGTTGATTCCATGTCTTTGCTATTGTGAATAGCACTGCAGTGAACATATGTGTGCGTGTGCCTTTATGGTAGAATGATTTATCTTCCTTTGGGTAGTCAGTCATGAGATTGCTAGGTTGAATGGTAGTTCTATGGTAGTTCTGTGTTTAGCTCTTTAAGGAGTCACCACATTGCTTTCCACAGTGGTTGAATTAATTTACACTTTCATCAACAGCATATAAACATTCCCTTTTCTCCGCAACCTCACCAGCATCCGTTATCTTTTGACATTTTAATAAGAGCCATTCTGACTGGCATGAGACTGTAATCTCATTGTGGTTTTGATTTGCATTTCTTGAATTATCAGTGATATTGAGCTTGTTGGGTATATGTGTGTCTTCTTCTGGAAAGTGTCTGTTCATGTTTTTTGCTCATTTCTTAATGGGGTTGTTTGTTGCTTGTAAATTTAATTTTTTTGTAGATTCTGGATATTACACCTTTGTCAGATGTGTGGTTTGCAAATAGTTTATCCCATTCCGTAGGTTGCTGTTTAGCCTGTTAATAGTTTCCTTTTCTGTGCAAAAGTTTTTATGTTTAATTAGAACCCATTTGTGAATTTTTGCTTTTGTTGAGATTGCTTTTGACATCTTTGCTATGAAATCTTTGCACATTTATATGGCCAGAATGGTATTGCATGTGTCTTCCAGGGTTTTTATAGTCTTGGGTTTTACATTTAAGTCTTTAATCCATCTTGAGTTGATTTTTGTAAATGGCGTAAGGAAGGGGTTCAGTTTCAATTTTCTCCATATGGCTAGCCTGTTATCCCAGTACCATTACTGAACAGGGAATCCTTTCCCCATTGCTTGTTTTTGTCAGCTTTGTTGAAGATCAGATGGCTGTAGGTGTATGGCCTTATTTCTGAGTTCTCTATTCTGTTCCATTGGTCAATGTGTCTGTCTTTTTACCAGTACCATGCTGTTTTGATTACTATAACCCTGTAGTGTAATTCAAAATCCAGTAATGTGATGCCTTCAGCTTTGTTCTTTTTACTTAAGATTGCCCTGGCTGTTTGGTTTCTTTTTTTGTTCCATATAAATTTTAAGATGTTTTTTTCTAGTTCTGTGAAGAATGTCATTGGTAGTTTGATAAAAATAGCATTGAATCTATAAATTGCTTTGGGCAGTATGGCCATTTTAATGATAGTGAGTCTTCTAATTCATGAGCATGGAATGTTTTTCCGTTAGTTTGTGTTATCTGGGATTTATTTGAGCAATGTTTTGTAATTCTCATTGTAAAGATCTTTCACCTCCCTGGTTAGCTGTATTCCTAGATGTTTTATTGTTTTTGTGACAATGATTCATGAGATTACATTCCTGATTTGGCTCTTGCCTTGGCTGGTGTTGTTGTATAGGAATGCTAGATATTTTTGTATGTTGATTTTGCATCCTGAAACTTCGTTGAAGTTGTTTACCAGCTGAAGGAGCTTATGGTCTGGGACTACAGGGTTTTCTAGATATAGAAGTATGTCATCTGCAAACTGGGATAGTTTGAATTCCTTTCTTCTTTTTGGATGCCCTTTTTTTTCTTTCTCTTGCCTGATTTCCCTGGCCAGGGCTTCTGGTACTATGTTAAATAGTAGTGGTGAGAGGTGGCATTCTTGTCTTGTGCCGGTTTTCAACGGGAATGCTTCTAGTTTTCACTCATTAAGTATGATGTTGGCTGTAGGTTTGTTATAGGTGGTTCTTATATTTTGAGATATGTTCCTTCTATAACTAGCTTATAATATGAAAGAATGTTGAATTTTATCAAAAGTCTTTTTTGAGAGAATCATGTGATTTTTGTGTTCAGTTTTATAAATGTGATGAATCACACTCATTGATTTGTATATGTTGAACCAACCTTACATCCCAGGGATAAAGCCTACTTGATCATAGTAGATTAGCTTTTCAATGTGCTGCTAGATTCAGTTTTCAAGTATTTTATTGAGGATTTTTGCATTAATGTTCATCAAGGATATTGGCTGAAAGCTCTCATTTTTTGTTGTGTCTCTGCCAGGTTTTGATATCAAGATGATGCTGATCTCCAAGAATAAATTAGGGAGGAGTCCTTCTTTGGGTTTTGGGAATACTTTCAGTAAGAATGGTATCAGCTCTTCTTTGTACGTCTGGTGGAATTCTGTGAATTCATAGGGTCCTGGGCTTTTTTTGGTTGGTAGACTGTTTATTACTGATTCAATTTTGGAGCCCATTATTGATCCAAATCAATTTCTTTTTGGTTTTGTTTCAAGATGGTGTATGTGCCCAGGAATTTATCCATCTCTTCTAGGTTTTCTAGATTGTGTGCAAAGAGGTGTTTTTAATATTCTCTGATGGTTATTTGTATTTCAGTGGGATTAGCAGTAACATCCCCTTTATCATTTCTGATTGTATTTACTTGGATCTTCTTTCTTTTCTTTATTAGTCTAGAGTGGCCTATCTAATTTTTTTCTTTTTTTTTTTTTTTTTCAAAAAAACAACTCCTGGATTTGTTGATCTTTTGAATAGCTTTTCATGTCTCGATCCCCTTCAGTTCAGCTCTGAATTTTGTTACTTCTTGTATTCTGCTAGCTTTGCAGTGGTTTTCTCTTGATTCTCTAGCTCTTTTAGTTGTAATGTTAGGTTGCTGATTTGAGATCTTTCTCACTTTTTGATGCGGGCATTTAGTGCTATACATTTCCCACTTAACATGGCTTAAGCTGTGTCCCAGAGATTCTAGTATGTTGTTATTTTTGTTCACATGAGTTTCAAAGAACTTCTTGATTTCTTTCTAATTTCATTATTTACTCAAAAGGCATTCAGGAGCAAGTTGTTTAATTTCCATGTATTTGCATGGTTTTCCTCTTTATTCTCTACTCAAGTGAATATTATCCAGAATTCAGATATTATCACATTGGCTTCAGTTCATTGCTTGTGAGCAGAACTCTTTCAAATATCTAAGCTCTCTGGACTCACAATGTTTTACCAACATGATCATGGGTAGTTGGCCTACTGTGAGTGAGATCTTCAAAGACAGAGTAGGTTCTGGCTCTTTTGATTAAGGCAGAAATCGCTGTGAGTGCCCCTTTGAGAATTGTTCTAAGAGGAAGTAACTGTTGCTAATTTGGTAAAGTGATATTAAACAATATGCTGGAATAGATTTTTGAACATAGATTTTCCATAAACTCTGCAATCATTCATGTTCAGTTTGTGGGAATAATGTGAAGTCATTCTTTTCAGAAAGGAACATGCAGATCCTGATGTGACTTACTTGAGAATGATTGTTATCTCACAATTTGATATTTCTGTGTTTCCTCAAGACACACACACACAGAATCAGTAAATATATAGAGTATGTTAACAAGGGGAAGGTTCACTAAGGATTTATTGGAGTAATGGTGAACTCGCAAAAGCAGAAATATTTATTTAAATGACATGCCTTTTAAGTTTTATAAATATTGTCAAAATATTTTCTGAAATATGTTTAAATTTATATTCTTACATGTTTATATTACTCTCACTTTCTCAACACACACAAATTTTCGCATATGCACACATACACACATTTTTACCCTGGGCAATATCAGTGTTCTACCTGTGGAGAATATAATTTGTAAAATATGGTATCTTGGTTTTCAATTGCATGCTTAAATTATGAATGGGTCTTGGCATCACATATTCTTTTACTTAAAACTTACCTGCCTAATAATTTCTTTTAAACATTTCAAAGCAAAATGGGGAAATCATTTCATGATGGGCAAGTATGAATGAAGACAAACCCAAATTCCCATTGGAAAAAAAATTATATTTTCTGAATAACTGATCAGATTTTTACTACACTTATGTGCTCTGTAATTTTTCAAGAGGGGGTTGGAATAGAAAGGTTTGAAGGAAAATCATTTCACACTCTTCTTCCCCTAACTTTCTTACCTCAACAGCTTATGACTTCACCTCTGGTTCCTAGATGCTGTAGAAAATACTATTTGTAAGTATATATTACTGTGTGTAAAAATTAGAGAGTGAATGGGTATTACTAAATATATTAACTATATAGTTGTGGTATGTATCATTAAAAACTGTCTTAGATGATGACAAAAGGGGGATTAAACTACAAAAAAGTATAGAAACCTGCTAAGATGACTACCAAAAATCCATTCCTTTCTAACACCAGCAAGCTGCTCCTCCCATCAACAGTAAAAACTGTTTCACCTCCTCTTGACTCTTATTGGCACTGTGATTTGCTGCAACTTATAGAATATGATGGAAGTGGTGCTGTGCAAATGCCCAGCCCTCGAGAGATCTGGCAGCTTGTGCTTTTACTTGTTTATGGAGTGAAACCTGCGGTTGGCCACAATATAAGAGAGAGAAAGGCCCAGCCAGCTTGCAGCCACATTAGGTGAAGTGCCCAACATGTGCGTGAAGCTATCTTGGACATTCCAGCTCAAGCCAAGCTCCCAGCAGATTGTAGTCACATGAGGGATCCTAGCGAATATTATGTGAAGAGGAAGAACCACCAACTGAGCCCAGCCAACCCACAAGACCATGAAAAATTGACTAACTAACAAAGGGAGGGATTGTAACAGTACCTAAATGTTAAAGTAGAATCCACAATAGTACTGAGAGACAAAATTGCATGAATTATGAAATGAAAACCAATTGTCAAGACACGGAACTCAATGTAGATGGATGGGAGAGGCCCCAGACCAATGAGGGTATGCAAAATTCTAATCCTGAGTTAGAGTTCAAGAACTAGGACTGATATTTTACAATGGTGTTTCCAGTGGAATTTTCTACGATGATGAAAAAAAGGTATGTAGCTACTGAGCACTTGAAATGTGACTAGTGTGTCTGTGGAGATGAATTTTTAATTGTATTTAATTTTGCTTAACTCTCATTTAAATTTAAATAACTACATGTGGCCAGCGACTGCACTATTGGATAGTCCAGCTACTCATCACATGCAGGACTTTACCCTGATGAAGAGATAAACATCTCCAACAACTCACCCCAAAATTGTGTCTTTTCCATGAACATATCCCTCAGAACTCTGAGAAAAACCTTACTACTTAGACCTTGATCTACTTGAGTCACAGAGAGCTGCTTAGAGTTAGCAAATAATCTGTCAGTTGTCTCCATATGCAAACAAAGAATCAGAAGGCACAAATAAGACCCTCCTCCTTGTGTTCTCTGACTAAACAGAGATGGGGCTGGAAGTAACAACTTAAATAAGGTCTGTATCTACATTTTATACTAAGTCTATAAATAGCCTCAAAGTAAAATCATCTATTATAAAGGGAATTTCTAAGAACTTTAATTAGGGTATTTAAAATTTAAATTCAAATATATGTATATATATATATATATATATGATGTGTTCCCCAAGCTTCTTTCAGTAAAGAAATATTTTGTCTATGTGACCTCTATTAACCTCTTGCAGTGGCAATAAGACACATTTTGGGAAAGCTCTGCTAGAAAACTGCAGAAGAATTTTTATTAAGCTAGGCTAAATGTCATAGTGAAATATTGAAAACTTCAACCATGAATACTACATAACTTTCCAAAATCAATTCCATTTCCTTAATTAGAAAATTAATCATTTGAGATTATTAAACAAATATGAGACAAGATTAAAATGATTTTCATTTCCTTGTAGGTTAATTTTTAAATATTTAACAAAAATAGAATAATACTCTTCTCAAAGAAGGCAAAATTGTAGCTGAGACTTAATTTAATTATATGGTATCTAGGTTCCAAAATTTTCAAACACTGATTTTAGCATTTTTACCTAATGAAGGCAATATTGACATTTACATGAATTAAATTATCAGTATTCTATGCCCACCTGGCATTGAGCCATGATTTTCCAAAAAGCCAAGGACAAATAACTATTTCAAGGACTCTTTTCTAGAGAGAAATGCTTGCATTCTTAGGAGAATAGATTTTGTTCTGCTTCACTGTCTCATTTAACACCACTGAAATTGAAAATGGAAGTGTATTATTTCTACTTCCTGTGAGTCCTCAAAACTCCTTCTACCCTCCAGAATTTGTTCCAATTGGATTATCCAATTAAGGTAAACCAGGAAATTATTCCAGTCACTTAAAGATTTGGCTAAGATGTTTCTTCTCTCAAATTCCTATTCATGGCGTTTTATTTTTTATAACAGTCCTCCAAGTTCATCTTTCTCCAAGATGAACTGGATGCATATTGGAATAACTGGGGTTGGGGGTAGCCTTTTGAAAATGCAGATTCCTGGGCCCCGCCTCAGACTAATCTCAGCATGGGGAGAAGAGAGTGGGAGGCCCAAGCAAAGACATCCTTAAAGTCATTGAGTAGATTCTTGTGACAATTACACCATTGGGCTGGTCTATTCTGCTCATTTCACAGACTTGGGAACCAAGGGTCAGCCAGCTAAGTGAGCTGTTATCATTTCTTCTTCCCTAGACAATCAGGACTGGAGCCATCTGATTGCTAGGTGGCTTCCAAGCTTGCACATGAGCCACCAGGGTTAAAAAGAATGTCTCCAGGGTCTCCTTTGAGGGTGAAAGGGGACGTAAGGAAGGAGCAGATTCTCATCTTCGCCAGAGAACCAGTCCTAACTATCTGTACACAGGGGTTCTTTATATTTTGTTTAAAAAGAGGGTTCCACTGCTGAAGTGTGCCAAGTCTGAGAAATCACTCCACTAAAATTATAAACGTGATGTAAATAATGTCTATGTCTGATATGTTTATCAAAGTATCTTAGGAGCCAGACACCAGTTCAACTATTAATGAAATGTAAAAACACTTCAAAGAACAGAAGAGTGTTTATTCTTAAGTCACATTTTTTTTTTCAGGTGTTTGGTGAGCTCTAAGGAGATGTGTGAATTCAAATATTAGCACCCATGAAAAATATGTGTCACAGGTAAGAATCTCAGGTCACAGGTGCAAGTTTAGTAAATTAAAAAAAATTTTTTTTTTTTTTGCAACTGACATTTTCTAGATCATATCTCATTACCTTGATATCTAATATTAAGGGGACTGTTCTTGCCTATGGATGGGCCTAATTTGGTGGGGGTGGGTTAGGCAGTTCTGAAGCATCAGGCAAGGGCTCTGGTCCTGGTGCTTGTCTGACCTCACTGGCATCCTCTGGGATACCCTCTGTCTCACCCAGGCTCGGGACATAAGTACACACAGAGCCCTTTCATTTCCATCTATAAAGCCTCTTGGGTCCAGCTTTCTATCCATGGCCTTTGACCATCGCTTGGTCTCTCCAGAAAGCATCCTGTTGTTCCCCCAGCCCTCCTGGGTTTCAGGGACCATGTGAGGGTGTCTCAGGCTTCTCTGTTCAGATACCCCTTCCTTCCATCATTTCTATTCCATTGCTTCCCCGCCATGCTGCCAAGTGGGCATCTGTGAAGCTTGCCCCTCTCCTAGCTCCACACTGGAAGCGAGGCACAGCTCTTCCCTGCTGCTGGATCTCCAAAGCTTTCTCAAAGGACCAGCCCCAGCAGTGGGGACCCAAGCAAAGGATCCCTCCGTGGAAAACATCAGTGTTTATATATCACCGACTCTGCTTTCTTAAGGAGATTTCAATCGAAGGGGAGGAAAAACTGTCTAAAACTGAGAACATTTCTTCTAAAACTATTGTTCTGTACTGGAGCCTTTAGAATCCAGGCTTTCGCAACTCACCAAAACGCTTTTCTTTTTTCCCTCAAGGCAATTGTTTACAATGGCCTATTTTAAAGCCAAATGCAGAGAATTGCCCGCTCAGTCTTCCTTTCTCTTCTGTCATTTCTTCCCAGGAGCTGCCCCAGTGGAGGTGAAGAGAGTCACAGGAGACAGAGGAGGATGGGGAAATAAACAAGTCAGTTAATACATCAATATTGTATCTTTCTACACATGCGTATTGCTCAGGTTCTGTACACAATAAAGTACAAAATAAACTGTACAAAATAAAAGCGTGAGGCCCTTATTAAAAAATTATTGGGTTACTGCAAACATAATTGTGGTTTTTGCCATCACTTAAGAAAAAAGGCAAAACCGCAATTACTTTTGCCCCAACCTAATACAGCGAATTTCAAGACAGCTACAGCAGAGTGTTAAACCAGACATGAGGCCCTTCTGAATACAGTGGCTCTGTGTGACTGCAGGTGTCCACACACACACAATGCTGGCCCTGACTTTAGCTCTTACAACACATCTTTGTTTGATTTTTGTTGGAGTGTTATTTGTACTGTCATACCTCAGTATCCCTGGGGGGTTGATTCTGATCCTGCCCTCATCCCCAGATACCAAAATCTGTGGATGCTTAAGTCCTTGATATAAAATGGCATAGTATTTGCATATAACCTATGAACCTCCTCATGAACATCCTCCTGTGTACTTAAATCATATCTAGGTTACTTATAACACTTAGTACAATGTAAGTGCTGTGTAAATAGTTGTTATACTTTTATAACATTTATATTATTTTTATTATTGTTAAATATAAACATTGCGTTGTTTCTATTGTTGTATTGTCATTGTTTATTGGCTTTTCCAAATATTTTTGATCCACGATTTGTTGAATCCACAGATGCAGAAAATTATCAAAATAATTTGGAAGACAATTTAAGTAGCAACAGGAATTCATAATATAAGCTACAGAATATAATAGGTGACTATGCAGTTTTTTATAATCATGTGTAGATATTAATGTTAATTTTCTATTATCACTGATGGGTACATAAGAGTTTTATTTACTGTCCTTTGTACTTTTCTAAATTTTTTTCTGAATTTTATTTTTAAAATATTTGAAGGCCACTGGGCACGGTGGCTCACGCCTGTAATCCCAGCACTTTGGAAGGCCAAGGCAGGCAGATCATGAGGTCAAGAGATCGAGACCATCCTGGCCAACATGGTGAAACCTCGTCTCTAATAAAAATACAAAAATTAGCTGGGCGTGGTGGCATGCGCCTGTAGTCCCAGCTACTCAGGAGGAGAATTGCTTGAACCCAGAAGGCAGAGGTTGCAGTGAGCCGAGATCACGCCACTGCACTCCAGCCTGGCACCTGGCAACACAGTGAGCCTCTGTCTCAAAAATTTTTAAGACAAAAAATTTAGTTAAGTCCTAGTTTTAATGATGTTTCAGGATCGGGGGGACAAGCTGGGATTTAATTCAACAGCATGATGGCTTACTTTGTGGGCTCACAACAGTCAGATGGGGAGGGGCTCAGAAAATTTTAAATGGAAGATAAAATTCCCATCCACACCACCACCAATAGCTCAGTGATGGTTTCTTTTTCTTCTAATAACCAGATAGGTGTCTGGGATCACTAGTTTATTCAGCTAGTTTAGACTCAGTCTAGCAAACAGGTAGCAAAGATAACTTATGGGCTCTTCTGTAACTATCTTTTCTCAAGTCTCAAAATTTAGTCTTTGAAGTCCATATTGTCTGTTCAATATGGTGACCTCTTCCATAGCAATAACAGATTTTATTCAAGGTAACAATGTACTCAGAAAAATGCCACCTCTTCATCTCCTTTGTGACTACATTCTGGCCAAAAAGATATGAGTTAATGCCATATGGGACTTCCAGTAGAACGACTTAGAGAAAGCTAACTCCCCTTCCCCTTTTCTTTGTCTCATTTCCTGAATGTGGATATAATATCTGGAGACCTGGCTGCTGTGAAAGGAAAATAAATCTTGGGACCCCGAAATCACTAGGCCAAAGGAAAAGTCAGGCTGGGAACTATGTCAGACAAACCTGCCTTCCATTTTATAAGATAGCTACAAAGACAAAAAGCCACATACTTCCCTCATAATTTGTCCACAAGGAAGTTCCCTGTGGAAAAAGGACAGATAGAACTCAGCATCTGAGACAATTTCATATCCAATTGCTTCCTCTGCCTTTTGTTTGTGTAAAAATGAAGATTCACTGAGCCAGACTAAATTGTGCATTCAGTGGAGGGCTGATCAAGCACTCAAAAGAATACAACCTTTTGTTTCTTATCTACTTATGACCTGGAAGCCCCCACCTCAAATTGTCACAATCCAATGTACATCTTATACATATTGATTGATGTCTTATGTCTTCCTAAAATGTATAAAAGCAAGCTGTACCCTAACCACCTTGGACACATGTCAAGACCTCCTGAAGCTGAGTCACAGGCACATCCCTAATCTTGGCAGAATAAACTTTCTAAACTGATTGAGACCTGTCTCAGATATCTTTTGGTTGACACAACCATCTTGGATCCTAAGATGCATCTTCAAAGACTGTAAGACCTCAAGGTTGAAAGCCACCCCAGAGGAATAGAAAGAAGAAAAGAACCAGGGACCAGGGTCCCTTATGACTTAACGGAACCTCTGTATCAGTTTTCAGTCCTGGAAAGTCTGCTTCCAAATTTCTTTTTTTATTTTCTTTTTTCTTTTTCTTTTTCTTTTTCTTTTCTTTTCTTTTTTTTTTTTTTGAGACAGGGTCTTAGTCTCTCACCCATGCAGTGGTGCAATTATAGCTCACTGCAGCCTCAACCTCCTCAGGGTCAGGTGATCCTCCCACCTCAGCCTCCTAAGTAGCTGGGACTATATGCGTGCACCTGGCTACTTTTTGTATTTTTTGTAGAGACAGGGTTTCACCATGCTGTCCTAAGCTGGCAGATTTCTTTTATGTAGAAACTAATCCTTGTGTTTTTTAAGCCACTTGTACTTAGGCCTCTTGTAATATCAACCTGGTTTAATGTCTAATGGATATTTAACCAAGTGCCTTCATTTTCCTATGAGATAGTTTAATTCTTTTCTCTCTCTTTTCTCTTTCCTTCTTTTCTTAACTTCCTACTTAGCTCTTTAGAGATGCAATTATAGCCTTTTACCTCCTCTTCACCAGACACTTCCTACAGGACAAGTTCATCTATGTGCTTAGAAGCTCCAGAGCAGATCTCTCGCCCACCAGGAGATTGCCTTGACAGATAGCAGTCAATTTATAGCCCAAAGTATACCCACTAGAGTTTTTAGCCACCTTTATAACCTATTTCTGCTCATAAAGAGGCTAACCTTACTGCCCAACAGGTAAGTCACCAAAGTGCGGACCCCCAACTTGCTTACTTCTACCTCGGTGCAGGCGTCTCCCTTTAAAAGCACCCACTTTCTCTCCAAAAGCAAAATGATACCCTTAAGGCAGGAATCCTGTACTTCTTCCCCTAAGCTATCTTTGCAATACAAAGTCCTTTCTTTATAGCAGCCCTTGCTCTTGTTAATTGGACTCTTTAAGTGGTGAACATTTTGCATTACAGATGCAATTGTGGATGGGAATTTGCCCATTCATTCCATAGATTATTACTGAACATCCAGGCTCCAGACATTATGCTAAGCATTGAGTATTCTGGTGCCAGATGCTGGCATAACAAAAGCAAAAGTAGTAATTACTGTTACCATTATGGATACTGTGTTAGCCCCCTTTTCCTCTTGTCCCTGCAAATCTACTCTCCACACACCTCACTTTGTGCCCCTGGGAGGCTGACCCCTGTGGATGCCACGAGTGGGCTCCCTTACGCTTTAGCTCCAGTTGGATCTGGTCAGGGAAGAGAACCAGGGGGAGCTAGAAGGAGAGAGGAGGGGGAGATTGGAGTGTTTATCACCCCAGCTCTTGTATAAGTCTGTTTTTATGCTCTGAAAAAGACGTATCTGCGACTGCATAACTTACAAAGAAAAAGAGGTTTAATGGATTCACAGTTCCACAGGGCTGGGGAGGTCTCACAATCACGGCAGAAGGCTAAAGGCACTTCTTACATGGCAGTGGCAAGAGAGAATGAGAATCAAGCAAAAGGGGTCTCTCCTTATAAAACCATCAGATCCCATGAGACTTACAAGAATAGTATGGGAGAAACTATCCCATGATTCGATTATCTCCGCTGGGGTCCCTCCCACAACATGTGGGAATTATGGGAACTACAATTCAAGAGGAGATTTGGGTGGGGACACAGCCACACCATATCAGCTCCCCACTGCAGGATTGCCGTAAACTGGCTTTGTCTGGCTTCCAGTCAGGCAGACCTCTCCACACTCTTCTCTGTCTCCAGGTTCTCACACTGCCCCTTTTCTTATGTCTGTGGGTCTCAGGTAGTCATTGTGGTCAGCTGTACTGAGCTTGGGGTTTCACTATATTCTATCCACGTCTTTACTAAAAGTCCCTTTTCAAAACAGTCCTCAAATTAATTCATTGCAATGTGCCATCTATTTCTTACTGGTAACTGAAGAACTGTATTTTTTTTTGTTGTTTTGTTTTTGTTTTTTTTGTTTTTTTTTTTTGAGATGAAGCCTTGCACTGTCACCCTGGGCTGGAGCACAGTGGCAAGATCTCGGCTCACTGCAACCTCCACTTCCTGGGTTCAAGTGATTCTCCTGCCTCAAACTCTGGAGTACTTGGGATTATAGGCACACGCCACTACACCCAGCTAATTTTTTGTATTTTTAGTAGAGACGGGGTTTCACTATGTTGGCCAGGCTGGTCTTGAACTCCTGACCTCGTGATCTGCCCACCTCACCCTCCCAAAGTTATGGGATTACAGGCATGAGCCACTGCGCCCGAACCAAAAAACTTCTTATGAAGTGTTTCTTTTTTGACAGATACTGCTAGGTATACCATTTCATTGAATCTTTACAGTCTTGTTTACATTTGTCTACATTTGAATCTTTACAATCTTGTCTACATTTGTCGAGTAAGGCTGAAAAATAGAGAGGCTGAGTGAATTTTGTAACCAAGGTGTTAAGTTCTTTTATTTTCTTAACCTGGCACACATAGAGAGATAGGCTGGTCCTTACCCAAAACAATACGCACAGGATTTATCATGGTGTACCCTTCCATCTTGCTCTCCATCCCAGCTTTCCTTTCTGTGTCTTTTGCTCGCAATATCCTGTTGCCACCCCTTAGAGTTCAAGGTTCCCTGTGGTGGTGTCTCTC